GGCTGGAATGAGATTTAACATGATGGGATGATGGTCTAAGTGTGCTTCCAGACTATGAAGAAGTAGATGTTTCAATTCCATAAACATATGTCAGATTTCATATGGTTATGATTGATGCCTCTTTCTGATAGTTCAAATTTTCAAACTGATGGAAAACTATTAACGTGGACTTAGGGACAGGATGCACTATTTCTTGGAAATTACACAGTTGTGTTGAGTTTCGTTACTAAACCCCCAACGGCAATGATTTGTCTCAACTTCTACTATAGTTTTCTATCCCAAATTATCTGCTTTGGGCTTCTTGAAAAGTTCTGTACTTTGATTTATGTTGCAAACAAGTCCTGCTTGATACAATGGAGAATCGTGTTTTCCCATAACTCCCATATTTTCATCATATAAGGTACCAAAACCAAATGCTTAAGTTATGAGTGTTCTTCCACATCATGAGGTTGCTCCCCCTTCACGCCCATCTGATGACTGAAACCCACCATTTTTCAAACCGCTCTCCCAAAGCACATCTGATGTCTTCTTCACAAACACTGAACTCAACTCCCCTAGACTTTGGTAGGACTTTTGCTTGGTGTATACAGAAATTTGATCCAAGAAACTGGAATCTGTAGCTATTTGGGGAAATACAAGTGCAGAGGGAAATACAGGCAAACCTCAACAGCTATCTATCTACCTAGCCAAAATTTATTGTTTTTCTCAAGTTCCAAGCCCCCAGATAGTCAAGTCAATCTCCAGATAAGAATTTTTAGGGTTTCACTCTTTCTAGATGCTGAAATACCTCCAGCTGTGAAAAACATTTTATTTCCTTGGCATAAGCCAGAAAATTTGTCTTTTAAGAAGAGAATCTGACATTTGTTAGGTTTGCAAAGTGGAGCACTCTAATCCTGAAAAGCTCCAATAATTCCCCAAATTGTTAATTTTCTTCCCATCCAACATCAGCCACTCTGATCCCTGCATGAAATCTTCCCTGATTCTTCACTGAAGTGGGTGAGTTTAAGCCATCCCTTCACCTGCCCTGTTCTAGAGTCAACAGCAGAAAGAATCGTAGCTGTTACTCATTATCATTTTGAGTAAATTAACCTGCAAAGGACCAAAAATTCCCAGAACAATCCTGGGACATACAAGTTTTGACTGTCATTTGTGCTCAACCTTTCACTGTCCACTGCAACCCAACATCTGGGTATAGCCTGAGGTATTGATGAATTGCTGCCTCAGTTCTCAGGCAGTTTGTTTGGTTTTTTTTTTTCTCTGTCATCGGAAAGGCACAAAAAAAATCATCAAAGGAATGGAAAGATGCATGAGGAGCTCACGTCTCTACCTGAAAGGTGTGCTTCTTAGCAGTGAGACAAATCATCTGGAACTTCTGCTTCTTGCTAAAAAGCAAGACCTCAAGAGGAACTGCAACAATATGACAGTGTGAGTCCTGGAGTGGAGAAATGGGTGTTTTTTTGACTTCTGGTCTGAGCAGTAAAGTTCCCTTTTCAGCAAGACATACCTCACCACAAACCTCACTACCTTCGGAGCAAAATGCAAGGCTGTATAGCAAAACCCACAACACTACAAAGACAGCAGACTGAAAACTATCTACGTGGACATGCAGATAAAGAACAGGCACCACATTAGCTGAGGTTGAGTGCCTGAGGGCTGTCATGAACAGAACCGCCGGTGTCGCATCGCAACCGGAGCACGAAGGCAGCTGATATGAAACAGCAGCCTCCCCCTCCACCCTGCACCCCGGGGCTCACTGCTCATGCTGAGAGCTGCCCTCAGGCCCATGGCCACCAAATCTAGATTTTGGGGAAGTGCTAGGAAAGCATTTGCACAGGGTCTTCATTTCAAATGCGGTTTGGTCCCCATCTATGCTGGGCAAATCAAGAAACTTGGCTAACTTGACCCACCTTTAAGGTGGGTTTAAATCTAGTCACGAAACATGGAAGGCTGCTTAAAGGTATGTAATTCAAGCAGCATTCTTGGAGTGGCTCTGGTGCTGCTCTGAAGTTTTAGGTGAGTATTTTTTTCTCCATCAATCTCCTAGAGATGCTCTGACCAACTAACCAGGTGTCAGGCGGGGTGTACCACGACGCTGAAGTGATGCACAAGCTATGCCTGCCATAGAGGCTCTGAACTTCACTGACACTGCACTTTTTCAGGGTCTAAATCAAAAGCCTAGATCGTGCCACCCTTACTCATGATGAGGGTCGCCCTATTCCTCCCAGGGTTTACCAGAAGTAAAGAAAGAGTTGGAAGGTAAAGGCCTGATACAATGACCAGTGAGGTGTCAGCCCAGAAAGAAAAATTAAGTAATCTTCTACCACTAACCCTAAAAGAAAAAGCCAGCTTTAAGAAGAAGAAAAAACCTGAAAACATACTGTCCTCACAAACTGGACCGCAGCTGATGAAGCGAGATGCTCTAAAGTGATACCAGGAAGTTGCTACTTTCAGCATATGGTAACAGCAGAGGAAGGAGTGGGGGTAAGAAGCACAGGCAGCATAAACGTGGGGACCAGCCTCACTGTACGATGGAGATACATACAGTACTGATCCAGAATAACAGACAGATGCATTTTATGAGCCACTGCCAAAGCTGCTTTTAAAAAGGCTATTACATTTCCCTTAGCTAGAAGGGTCTCTGCAAATATTGCCTCTTAACAGATCCTGCACTGAGAACGGTAGATCAGGAGGTGGTAAGAGAAACAACAGCACGAACTGTCCGTAGGGGTACCAGCCCATCACTGGTGGAGTGTGAGGAGACAGTATCGTCTTCTCAGCGCAACTGGCAATGGGATCTGGAAAACGAAGACAAACATGCAACAGAAACTGCAACTTGTGACTTCAACAGTTGCAAGGGAATCACGCCAAGAACAGGCAGTATGCAAACATGCTGCAGGTTATTTAAAATGCAAATTGTCCTTTTCTAAATGGAGCTGCTGAAGCACAGGTAACATCTGATGTAAATGAGTGACCTACTTTAAACTAATCAAACAGTACAGCTAGAGAAAGAGGTAGAAGCAAAAACAATCTTAAGGCTTGTATTGTTTCTCTAAGTGCTTCACATTTCTGTCCCCATTACGGTTGTTCTCCAGGTTAGTGGGGGAATGAAAAAGCAGGTTATTTTAATGGCATCTCAGTATAAAAACAATTCTCAAGCACCACATTAAAAATTAAACAGCTTTGCATCTTTAATGCATACGTTCCTTTTTAAAGAGGGAATCAACAGTTGTGTGGCAGCATGTAAGTATTTTTGTTGTGCCCAATGAGCAGGCGAAAAAAAAATATACAGGATGCAGCAATGGAGAAAATACAGAATGAAAGAAAAGATGTCAAGAAAAAAAAACAACCCAGAGAAAGCAACTCTTGTCACTTGCTGGCAGGAAGCACATCCTCAAAATTAAAATATCAAGTAGGGCACCAGGGAGACCTAAATTTCATGTGTAAGAAGCTACAAATAACAACACATCTTTGAAAACGCCATCATTTTACCTCCACTGGATTTGCTAGTCTCTTGTAACGAACCCAGCTCACTGTTAGTAGTCTTTGTAGTTAAGCTAACAACCAACATAGTCTAAGATTGGCATAGTCTACATCTTGTCAACCTCTGCGGTGATCCCTCTGTGCCCAGGTTAAGGCATCTTGTGCACATGTCAAGTCGTAAGGGCGTTGTGCATGCAGCACTCTTCCAGACAGTGCAGAAATACACCTTACACCTAAAAGTGGTCACTTCTGATTTGGACAAACCACTGGAACCGCCTCCCTCCTCCCTGTCCCAAATGTCCTTCAACATAACTTCTCAGTAGACACGGAAAAAGGTAGAGCAGAAAACGATGCAGAGCATGGTATGTAGAGTTGGTTTTGCTTGCAGCCTCTGGCCCCACAAGCTGAATCTACTTGCTCCTGTGTGACTAAGCAAGTTTTCACTCCCCTTCTCCTCATTGGGCAGGCTTCCCCAAGCAAATGGTCTGCTTCATATTAATGCTCCCTGAGGAGCAAACAGAAGAGGACATCGTGGTCCACTGCAGAGCTGACCACTCACTGTGCTGTCCTACTTGTGCTGCAGCAGAGGAGGTCCCTCAGTGCACTCTGGAGCTTCCCTGATGGTGTTGTGGTCCATGGGTACCGCTATGCAGTAGAGTGTACGAGTGCATCAAAAATACCTATATCGCCAGGCACGTATGTGCCTATGGTCATGTTTTAGGCAATAGAACAGGGCTGATTTGCAAACAGGCGAGCACACATTTTCAAAATGCGCTCAGCGGTATGGAGACCAGAATTTCATTTTCCTTAATATCCAAGCTCAGGAAACAGCCTGAGTACAGAATAGCGCAACTGAGTATGTATTTATTTTACTCTGGCCACTTTCAAATATCTGCACTGTAAACTAGGACCCTCACTTCATTTTACACAGCAAAGTTACTCTGAAGCCTGCAGGAAGCCTACTCTGTCCCAAAGGGCCAGCTTCCACACCCAAATCACCCCCAGTGCACTTGCAGCGATCACCTCCCGAAGGAGGATGGTGGGATACTGACTCACATGTTTTTTTCACCTCACCTGTTAATGTAAAACCCAAAGGCGATATAAGCGCATGAAGTAAAATCCTAACATGCAACTGAAGCGTAATGTGTGAAGCAGCAGGATGAGGAGTTTTGATGTCCCTGCAACACACCCTGATGCCTTCCTGGGGCTTTTCTGCCTTTGCAATCAGAGATGCTTCAGCGAACGGGTAGGGGTACCCACGACTTTGCTGGGGTTCATTTAAACCTGAGACCATGGGTATGAAAAGCCAGGAGGAACCGGATGAACCTCATCCCGAGGGGGTAGATCAAGCACCGCCTAAACCAGGGACCGCCACTTTGGCCACCGAGAGAAGGCAGCCCCAGGTCTGGGAGGGCAGGGTGTGGAGGAGGATGTCTTTTCCCAGATTCCCCTCCCGGTTCACCTCGGCTCGGGGTGTGGGGGGGCTCGGGCACAAGGACCCTCCCTTCCCTCGCCCTTACCTGAGCCGCCCACGTTGGACCGGAGCAGGCAGGTCCTGCGGGAGGAGGAGAAAGAGGAGATGGTGCTTTGGGAGCGGCCGCGGGGACCGGGCAAGAACCAGGCGGGCGGCGGTGCTGCCCCGGTGCTCCCCGGACTCTCAGCCATCGCCGTCGGGGAGCCGAGAGGGGCAGGGGGGGGGGGGTGTGGGGCTGTGTGGAAGGGTGGGGGGGCTGGGGAGGTGGGGGTGTGCGCCTCCGCGCTCCCCGCTCCCGTCATTTCCAACTCTCGGGAAAAACCAAACCAAAACAAAAACCAACTAAGAATCGGTTAAAAAACAGCCGAGCAAACGGCTACACCACTTCTGTTTTCTGTAACAGGGTGCCCTCCCTCCTCCCCCGGCCGTCCCCTGCAAAACCCGGAGGTTGCACAAAAGGCATCGCACCCCTGCAGCCGAGCGGGGAGGGCAATGAGTCAAATCTGCCCCCTCCTTCTCCTTCCTGTTTCTTAAGGTTTGGGTTGCAGGCAAGAGACTTTTCACAACTAGTTTTAGGACTGACTCAACGTTTTGGGAGTAAGGTACCCCTCCTGCCTTTCAAATCAGAAGTGGGAGTCACCGTCGACTTTGGCAAAAGCAAAATCCAGCCCTGCGGTGTCATTTGCTGGTGTTTGTTTTACAGATACACTTTTAGGACATGATTCACCTTTAAAAGGATATTTAATGTTTTAATTGCTTCTTAGGGGCAAATCCTTTTATATTCTGCCTTGAATAAAGTCCGTGCCGCCCCGAAGCCACCGGCACAATGGCCAAGACAGACAGGACTTCACCCTGCATTTTTAATGCATCCAGTGCCACAAACTATCGAGCTATCAAATATGAAAGTCCCATTCAGGCTGTATGAAAACATTTTAGCAACTACCACTCCCCAGGACTGAATCAAATCCTACTGAGTCCAAAACGTGTCCACCTGAAACTCAAGTTACCAGCCTCTGCTTCCCACCAAGCCCACCCAGTGCCCTCCTCTCGGCGCCGAGCCCCGTGCATCTCCCCAGGCACGGTGGTTCTGTGGCCTCCCCGGCAGCCGCACGGCTCAGGCACCCTTCGCCTATGCCCAAGCAATCGATCCAGTACATGGATCCAGAGCCTCGTATGTCAGCCATTAGGCAGGTCAAAAGGTCTTTCTTGCTCAGCGTCTCCCAGGGAATTGCCTCCATTATTTCCTCTCCTTCTTTCCCCTCCGCTGCCAGGCCAGCCCACTCCTTCCCTCGCTGCAGAGAGCTTTCCCAGCGGGACCGTGCTGCAAGGGTGAGAGGCAGGGGCTTCCCCTCGCCGGGCACAGCTCCATGCTGGCAGACCTACCCGCGGGGGCCGGTGGCTCCAGCATGGCACTGGCAGGCACACTGTACCCAGGTTTAGAGAGCTTCCTGCAGTGGCAGACACCAGTCTTGTGTTATTCAGAAAATCTTACAATGTACTATTTTTATTACTTACCCTTTGCAGCTTGCCTCATTACAGATGTGACTGTGCTACGAGGACCTTTTCCCTCACTGGAGATTTTGGTAGCTGTGCTTGTGTGGGCTGGTGACATTTTCTGAACCTGTTTATGCCTTAATCAGAAGTGTACTCATGGCTGCTATTTACTGCACTGTTTTTTACTTCTTTTTTTCCTCTCTTTTAAATTTAAAGGATGTCATCAAGTTCATTATTGAAATACACAGTTCCTGCTCCAAATCTCACCCAAGGCAATGGCAGGTTACTGACGTCAGTGGGCTTTGGGTCAGATCCCTGAGCTTTTTTAAAATCATTTTTCCTTCAAAGCATTTTGAGCCACAGAGCAGTTGTAACTTTGGTGTGCTGTACAGAATAAGCTTCAGAGAGTCTACTTCAAAACTCCCACATTAAGGAGCTGCTCAGTGTCTGCAATTGTTTGGTACGATCAAAAAGAAAAGGAGAACATGAAGAAATCCAAAGATAAACTAGAAAAGATACCATTGTGAGAGGTCAAACGCATTTAAAGATTCCTTTTGAGAAGCTAAGTGACATCTAAAGGGGCGAAGGTAAAAGAAGACACAGAGAAAGTAGGTCAACACTGAATGTGAAAGAAATATGAAGAGGCTCCTATTGTGATATCAAAGTGCTTTTGTAAATCAGAGTAATGTGAACAGTCAGTCAGAAAGAATGATACCGTGGAAGTCACAATGTTTTTATCAGCCTGTAACTAATACACTCATCGACGTACGTACATAAATGAAAATGTTAAAAAATTATCTGCTTCCCATTTTCGCAGCTCTTCAGATATTTTTGGATGAAGTGGAACAGCTGTGGTTAATGGCTGTGGAAACTGAAGTTCTGTTTCCGTAGAACAGCAGTAAAGTATACATCCTTCCCAGGTGGGGAGACATTTAATCCAGTTGTCTGCTCGTTCATTTTCAACTTTTGTTTTGATGTGATTGCCTAAGAAATTTCCATTCGTGGTGATGATTTTGGAGCTGCAGAGCGACGATGAACCAGGGAGCGGAGGGGAGAGGAAGGGGAAGCGGGGAGAGAGAAGGGCCGCTGAGCCTGTGGCTGGAAGCTGGAGGGAACGGCAAATCCAGCAGGCCACCGAGGCCACCTCTGAATTGGCCCCTGGCTGCAGATGCAGGACTCAGGCTGGGTCAGGCTGCAGGCCCAGCAGGCAGCAGCCGGCAGCTTTCAGGCAAGCACACGGCC